ACTAAATATTTTAGAAAATCATGCAAGACTTTATTTTTTAAAAATAATGAAGTTTAATGTCTCTTGAAATTCACTGAGACGTAAAAATTAATTAGTACATGTTGTCTAGCAACTGAAAATAAGTAAAAAAATCTGTTCAGGAGCAGACATGTAGTTTGTTAGCGTTGCTTGGAAATAAAAAAAAACATTACAACTATTGCAACTGTACTATTTTGCAAAATTTCAAACTATAGATGAGGTAGTGTCTACGTAAGCTCAATTTATTAATTTAAAGCGATATAAATTTATTATTATTTTGTTTAAAATCTGTATACGAGGGTATGTAGATTCTAATAAAAAATGTGTTTATTATTTTTAATTATCGGTGGTTCTAAGTTTTTATTAGTAACAATAATTATAAATCTGCTCAAGTAAAAACACAGCCTTTGGTTCCAAGTCCTTTGCATCTGACTCAATTTTCACTAAACAATGTTGGCCTTTACTGTAATTGTCAATTTTTTCCTGAATTTAGTTTTTCAAATTTATTTTCGTACAGCTTATTCAACATTTGAAATCTTATTTTGCTTCCTGTAACATTTTTTCTAAATTATGAATATTATCTAGTAAGACAAATTTTTCTTCCAAACTTATTGCATCTGAAACATTTTTTAAATCAAAATCATGAGTATCACCTACATTTAAATCGCTTTGTTGATCAAAATCAAATCGAAATGGACTTGAAATTATACAGGGTGTTTACAGTCTTGGAGTTGAAAATTGACCTAGTAATAGAACAGTACAGAAATACTTTAACCGAGAAAAAAAAACTCACACAATTGTTATTATCAAGAATGTTATTTAACTCCAAAATATTGGTACACGGTTTGAGGGTCACTGGAATTATTTCCTTGTTCAGATAAAATTCTATTGTTGCAACAGATAAAAAAATCGTATCCATGACAATGAAAGAGAAAAGTCACTTCATAGTTTTGACACTGTCATCATTTGATTTGCTTTTGCTTTAGTTTTTATCAAAATTCGAAGATCTTGTGTTTAATCTCTTTCAGCGAATGGTTTCCAATAGGTTTGATTCGTTTTTCTTAATTTTTCTCCAAATTTATAAACATGTAAGACAAAATATTAAAATAATAAATTGGTTGTCGTGATTATGATTTACGGTGAAACACAAGGTAATGATACTAATGACCATTGTTGCAGCCCAAGCAGCAGTTTTCAAACAAATAGTGTAAAATGAATAATGTCCTTTAACAACGTGAATTTTTGTTTTATAATAGCGTATTAGTTTTCTTCTACCATGAATATCATCTCATTTAAATTTCAACCTCAAGACTCAAGAATGAGTCTAAAGATTGGAGACACTTTGCAGAGGTTTCTAACGGCTTATGTTAAATGGACGGAAAATTAAAGAGACGCTATGTTTTTTGCAATGGAGAATGCAAGACTTACTTTTTTTCTCTCTTGAGATGTACTAAATATTTTTAGAAAATCATGCTGCAAGACTTTATTTTTTAAAAATAATGAGGTTTAGTGTCTCTTGATATTCACTGAGACGTAAAAATTAATTAGTACATGTTGTCTAGCAACTGCAAATAAGTAAAAAAATCTGTTTAGAAGCAGACATGTAGTTTGTTAGCGTTGCTTGGAAATAAAAACTAAAAAATTACAACTAGTGTGGCAACACTGTTGGAGATGGCTTCGATTCCAGTTACGTTATATTTCTCTATGTTGGCTATACGTTTGTTTGCAAAAACTTCTCAGTGTTTGTCCAAATATCGTATTTCGGTTATTCGTGTTTGCAATGGCCTCAAACACAATATCTCCCGTGTCAAATCTCGTTATTCTAGTAAAAAAACTAAATGTAAATATCGAACGAAAACATCGGACAATAGCGCAAGCTTAATGTTTCTGCAATGTGCTTTCGAGTTAAAGCTGCACGTTCATCTTTTTTATGTCATGTTCTATTTCCAGGACAAAACCATTACAAAACCCATTTCTGAGCGGTGCAATATTCATGCGACAGAAGAAATGCGGAATTGTAAAGATATTCAAATTTAGAAAATCAATATTTTGGGTAACTTAATCAAGCATGCGATGAACGGATTTAATTTGATGCCCGGTTAACCAGTGAGAAGTTGACCGCGGGCGGTTGGTAGTACTGGGAGATAATTAGTTGTCAATAGGTCACATGACCTCGATTTTATCAGAAATTCAGGGCTTGTTTCTTATCAAAATCTTCTTATAAAAGCAACTTCAGGAACATTAGATTGGAGTTAAATCTTTGCTAAGCCTTTACGCACAAGTAATTCATAATCGCCGGATAGGGCTTTAATTACACTCTAGACATTTTCAATTTTTTGTTAAAAATGTTGGCAACATTGCTACAGTAAGTCGCCATTTAAGAGCAAGGAGAATTAGGGACAATTATGTCTAAAGCGGTAGTAAATTAGTGGCCACACTGTTAAACTCAACGCAAAACTGACAACTTAACAAATGGCTGAGTAAATCTTAATCAGGGATTAAATTTTAAATAGGCTTATTATCTCTGACGTCACTGTCATTAAATCTCCATTAAGCTTATCTCTGCTATTCTATTCGTTATTACTGATAATAAATCATAACCATACAGATGTCACAGGATAATAATACTGGTGTGGCGTTAACCACAAATTGTAGCAATTTTATTGGTTATAAAGCACACTTGGGTTTTGTATCGATTTAAAATTTGTTTTAATTTTTTATCGCATCAGAAGTAAAGCAAACTGCGGTTCGTTAAATAAATCAAAGTTTTTCAAGTGTGGTATAGCGAAAGAACGGCCTACCATTATTGTCGTTTCTTTATCTGTTTCTATTTTGTTAAGTCCTTCTTTATCTCAAATGTTGGCATTTAGGATCATTGCAAGCTTTAATTTTCCCAAATAATAGTGACATTTATGTTGCAGTCGCAACATTAAAGTTTTTGTAATTTACTGTAAAAGTAAAATTTGCTGTTTCAGTTTTATGATTTAATTGGTGATTAAATTTTTTTAGTTGCAAAAAAATTGTACGTTTATAGTATTACTGATATTTCTCTTTCAAAAAAGCAAAAATGCCGTGGTAATAAAATAAATTGTATCTTTTCAAGAGTGCTTTGGAATGATAACAGCCTTTATTGTTTTCTTTATGTCCGATCCTATCACGTCGAGCACGTTTTTTGGCCTACTTTTCAGCATTTACGAGTATGTACTAAAAAAAATGATTTATTATTATACAGAGTGATTTTTAAAAAACAGGAAGTGCTGTAGAATTTTTATTTATGGCCCGATTTCAAAAATTAAAAAAATAATTAAATAGCTTTAATTTTTTTCTAAACATTTCAAAAATTAAAAAAATAATTAAATAGCTTTAATTTTTTTCTAAACATCACTGTATAATTTGGGATATATTCCAACTTCCTTATTTTAAATTGGGACCTATATTTTTTCTTTCATAATTTGGAAGGTATTCATTTTCTTGGTGCACATATGTGCAATATATCTCACTTTTTTTTACAAAAAATTATTGTTTACATGAATATTAAAGTTAAAAAAAATTATAAAAGTTAATAAAATAATTGCATGGTGTCAAATAAGACAATGTCATTATTGTAATGTCAAAAAGCAGCAAATAATAAAAGAAAATATTAACAAAAGTATTCAAATTTATAATAAAAAATAACAACAATAATTATTGATGATAATTCAGAAAAACATCTGTTTTTGTGTTATTAATTTATTTTATTATTTATTTTGTTTACTTTAATTAAGAGTATTATTAACGTCAATTGACACACTCCAACTAGGTTTTATTAACTTTTATTAATTTTTTTAAATAATATTTTTTGTGAATTCACGAAAAAAAGTGCATGAAATTCACTGTCCGTTACTAGATATACCCGGCGCATCCACCATATTTGTCTATAAGATAAAGCTTAAATAAAAAGACACGAAGTTATATAACTTTCAAATTTGTTAAATTAAATTTGGCATTAACCTCAAAAAGAAAGACTCAAAATTTCAAAAGTGATACAATTAACAATTATTCTTTCTTCATTTTCTCGTTACGATCAACACTAGTGTCATTTTTTGTAGTGGCAGCAATGAATTAATGTATTAGTAGTAGTTTGTAGTTTAGGCAAATAAGTTACATAATTATATTCATTGTTTTTCAACAACAATTAAAGTCGAGTCAAGCCATTTTATTTTTGAGTCGTTGTAACTTTTTATTTATATGTATTATACAACATGTTTCAAATTAATTTTCATATAGTCGCCTATGGAATTTCTTTACACGTAAATTTTTCTGTGCCGCTCTTCACTATTTGAACCAGATTTTTCTGTCAAGAGTCACAGCTGTCAATATAAATAAATTAGTATTTGAGGTTAATTAAATTCAATATTTTTTAAAAAGGCACTATTTATTTTACACAGAAAATCTATAGGCGACTAGATGAAAATCAGTTTGAAACACGTTATTTTTTATATAAAAATTGATTGTACGGATACTATACAATGTCACAATTTAATAAATCAGGGCATAAAACGCTAACAGCTTTTAGTCTTTTTTTGAACCATTTAAGTATTTGCAACTCTGAATTAAATTTCCTTGTTCAGATAAAAACAACAGGGTAACTAGATTGTTATACTTATTTGAAAACGTCAATATTGCCAGTTGTTTTGAAAGAAAAAATCGTCGCCTACTAAAGAACAACAATTTTCAAGGTCGTAAATATCAGTTCCATTGTGCAAAGTTGGCATCGAGTCGTGTTTACTTTTCCAGAACCGTTTGCAGTTGTGCCAACCACGCCTAAACAAATTCGTACTTGAGCTGTAATTCCTGAATTTGAATTAAACTCTCCAAACACATACTCGTACGAAAAGAGATTTATGCATGAAACTCATGTACATGAATCTAGGGAATGAATATTTCACCTGAATTCTGTGTGGATTTAAAACGGAACCATCTGAAACACGGTTTATTTTCAGGTTGAATGCGGTCCACGACGTAAAGAAATCCAACGTAGGGTAAGCCGCCCACCAACAAAATGCCGGTTGGAGGCAGAGTCGCTGGGAAAGTTACCGGATATATCTCCAATGGATATAATGGTGAGGGGATGAGAAGTAGATGAAAGAGTCAATTTCATTTTTTCGGTTGCAATTTCAACGTAGACAATCTTGTGAAAAATGTTGATTTTTTACTTTGAAATTAAACACAAAAATAGAACATATTTTTTCTACTTTGCGTTCGTACTAAGGTCCATTACGAAACTGTTTTGGGTTTCGTAATGAACAAAAACAGTGCTATAAAAATTATACTAAAAAGAGGGAAATTTAGTCTTATAATGTTGGCGACCTAACCGTTTTTCCATCGAACTGTCAGTGTCAAGCGGTCTAACGCAAATGAAATTATTCAAATACGAAATTTTTGCTGTGTTTGGTTTAATTAATCACGCAAAAAATATTCCGAATTAACATGATTGTAGTGGTGCTTACGCATACCTTTAGATCATAGGACAAAGTAAAATAAAAGGTACTTACTGTTACTTTTGAGACTTTTGTGGTTAGGTAGGTTTTGCCGTCAACTTACTGAACAATATTGGTGTGTGATTTCACAGGGAGTAAACTGTTCATCGTATTTGCCATCAAGGTCGGTATTTCTAATGCCGTACATTGCAAAACGTCTTCGACACCTTCGAAATTCATTTTTACGAATAAAATAATGACGTTTCAAATTAATATATTTCATAGCCACCTAGCCACCTAGCCACCACGCAATGTCGCCAACTGACGCAAAATTCCCTTGCAAAAATGCAAAGTAGGCATAAGGCATTTTGTCGCACTTACTGCTTTATGACACTCTTCGCTGCGCTCGTCGTGTCCTAAACATGTGCGTGTGACAAAATGCTTCTTATAAAACTCGTATCATAATATACTATTTTGAGTCTCCCAACAAAAATTTGGTTATTATTAAATCAATTTTTTTGTAACATAAAATAACACTTTCCGCATAACTAGTAGTTTTTCTTGTTTTAGTTAAAGTTAAGTGTAGATAACAGTAAACGATAAGGTAGCAATAAAACCTTTTCGGTCTCTTCTTTTTATGCAGCATTATTCTAAAACGTGCCTCCGGTGAAACAGTTCAATTTCTCATTTCCTCCTCTTTCCGTTGGCTTTCCAGAAATGGAATATTAAATAATTAGAGTACTCTTTAATAAGTCTCGATTTAATAAAACTCAATCAATATTGTTTCAGGTCGCTCCTACCAGGGAATCAACGAAGAGATCATTTGGGTCAGCATAGGGATGGGGATTGCCATCGCTGTCCTAATCACGATAGCACTTTGCTACATTATGCGAGAAAAGTGTATTCAGAGGCGAGAATATTACATCACGGCATGAATCGTCCCCCTTTAACTAATTAACTATTATTGAATTAGCGAGTAGAAACTTCCTGTATATAAGTAGAACGAATTTCTTCAAATTGCTCACTAAAAACTTGCCATTTAAACGCATTTAAATTAAAAAATCGACAATAATGAGTTTTGCCGGATTTCATGTTAAGTTTCACAGTCCTACCAACTCTAGACTGACACAAAATCTTGGTAAGTTTTAAAATCTTATGTGATAAAAAAAATTAAGCTAAATGACCAGTGCAGATATGCCAGGGTAGAATTAGTCCTAGTCGAACTTTCCAAAGTGCCCCTGTGGTAAATTTAAATTCAATTACGACCGGAAATTACGCTTTCCTCTTCAAAATCGGATGAAATAGCCCAGCGCTGCCACTCTCCGACATGTAAAATGTCAATTAATGGAAACACCAAAGTTTACCAACGTCGTTATCAGCAGGTGCACCAACATTAAGAAAATTAAGTCACTAATTTAATGCCAAACTTTGTACTCGGATAGCGATGTTGAAAAAAATCTTATCAGAGCTGAGCTTCAATGATAAGAAACCATTTCGTTTATTTTCCCCAGAGAGTTTGTCGTAAAATTTGTCTCGCGCACTCGGGTCGCCAGATAAAATCCTACATTAGCCAAAAAACTTGAAATAAACGGTGAGTTTTACGGAAAGAGAAGCGTTAAATCACTATAGAAAATCATTTTTTTTATTTGACGTTTCCACCATCTTGTCATAATAAAACAATAGAATCCAGTGTTCTTCCCTGCTTTGTCATTCAATTGTGCCAACTTAATAAATCGATTTTTCAATAAAACCCGGAATAAATTTGAAATTCAAAATGCTCTGATACTTAGATTTACCACGGGGTTGTAGGCCTATATAATCTTTGTCCTTTTGTGTGGACCAATACGTAAATCTGTGTAATTAGAATTAAACATAAAAATTTATGTCAATTTTGTGTAAATGTACCGGTACTTTAGCCATTTTAAATATGCTTTTCAAGACTTTATTAAATGAGTTTCAACATCGATAAGACTTTTTATTTCTCCTCTTCGAACACGACTCAATAAATGAAGTTCAGTGAACGAAATACGACAATCTTCGAGACGATTCGACTTGAGGAAATCCTCTCACTTCATATAACGAGAAATAGTTTTGCTAAAGTGGATCATAAACTCGTACGAATTAAAGCGACGAATTGTCTAACAAATTTAAAAACAAAGAGAAAATTGTTTTATTAGTTTGGTTACCATAGAAACAACTGTTATTAGATAAATTGTGAGGGAAATGCGAAACCTTACAAATGAAGCTTCTTGCAAGAGAAGTAAGTTTGAAACGATATTTATTTGAAAGCTTTCGACAATCTGACAAAGATCAAAGAAATTTTAATTGGATTTTCTTAAATGAAGTAAACTGAATACAGAAATACGTTTCATTCTCTCGGGAGAAAAAATTATTCATTTTTGACACTCTTTCACATAAAGGTCGTAAATAAGTCTCGCCATCGCGCAATCCTCAACTGCCATTCCTTAAAAGAAATATTTGAGTCGTTTTTATTGCCTTCAAATGCGTATTTATTACCCAAGCTTTGAAACACGGTGACTTGATTAAGTGTAGGCGGTGGTAAGTCGCCGGCTATAACTCCTCCAATTCCCCTCATTTTCACTCCCAAGTCCCCCAAACCGGCTAATTCAACTTTTGCGCCGTCAGCGTGATCGACATATACGTCACTAGTCTTGTAAATATCTAGTGATAACTCGCTGTAATGATTCACGCCCGCTCCGATTGCTGCAACATCATTGGCTGAAGACTCAAAACAGGTGTTTGTTATTAGTGGCTCATTAGTGGGCCACGCCTACCGTTAATGTGAACACCCGGTTTGAGCCAACCAAGCTCTACGATTGGCTCAGAGGAGAACGTCGCTGTCACAATAACGTCAGCTCCGGTGACACATTCTTTATTAGAATCGTAACATTTGAACTTTCCGGTGTTTGAAAACTCGTTCAAAGCACGAACGAGAGTTTCCGCTTTGTATTTATTCCGGTTCCAAATCCGGATCTACAAAAAGAAACATCAAACATTGACAGGAGTTAAATAAAACGTTTTTTGCCTCTTCAAATGAAAAAAAATTACTGAAAGCAAGAGCATGAATGTGGCCTTGGTTGCCGGCTCCCAAAATCGCCAAAATTTTAAGTCTTTTACCTTGGGTTAAATATTTTGTGGCCACAGCAGAGGCGGCGGCAGTCCGCCATTTTGTTATTTCAGTGCCGGCAATTACCTGAAATTTGGGGTTCCCCCAAAAGTGTCATACAATTATTAGGACTTACGGCCTTTAAGACGCCTGTGACGTCATCAAAAAGCATAATATAGGCGTTTATTGTAGGTAAGGGTTGGGCTAAACTGGCGTTGTTAGGTGTGGCCGTAACTAATTTGCAACCCAGAGCACCGAAGGTATCATTATCAAGATAGCCGGGCATTGTTAGGAGTCTAGAGTCAGTTTTAGGGCATTTTGTGAATGTTCGGGGACTCTGAATGGCACAATTTCTAGCAGTACACTGTAGTGCCGTTTCAATGGCCTTAAATGTAGAATCCCAGTTTAATAATTTTGTAACTATCTCCTCACTTATGTAAAGTAAATTATTCATTTTTATTGAAAAAACTAAAAAAATAGTGTTAAAAATTGTTAGGTTATATTGTTAAGCAAAAGCACGTGACTTGAAAATGTAAGATGAACTTTCACTTGTTTATTTCCAAACACACTATTGAAATAAGTCAATAACCCGATAAAGATATCGAAACCAAAAAAACAACATTTTTTTACAAGCCTAAAAACTCGGCAATTTGTAAATTTTTGAATGATATTTCTAAGTAGAATCTTGAAAGTGTTTGAAATGAGTATTTTATTTGATATAAATAAAATATGTATTAATAATAACTTTATGAACAACTGATGTGGTAATAATACAAACTTTTGAAATACATTTCTCTTGCAAAATAATTTAAAATTAGGAAATTTGATTCTAAAATAAATATGAAAAATAAATTGGTGTCACGTTAGACACTTCCACATGAGCTTGGCGCATGCGCATCGAGTTTTTCTTTATTCTGAATTCAATGGCTAAAATCCCGCCATTTGGGAATATTTTCGTGTTTATTAAATAATTGCTGAGTTTTCGTTTTGTTTTATGTTTTTAAGACACCTGTTATAATTGATAATTGTTGGTTATTGGGATGTTTTAACATTAAGGATTTGTAGAGTAACAATGGAAATTTCGGCGGTAAGGTTTTTTCCGTTTATTTTCTCATGATTTGTTGAAAAAGTTGTATTATTACGCAACTTTGACCCTAATTAAACACTCCGACATTAAATTTATCCTTTAAGTATTGAATTATTGCGAAAATTGTGATTATTTTGCTTGACTTTTGAAAACCTAACCTCAAACATCAATGACATCACTCATTGGTATTTTATCAAAAAATCATAATTTTGTATCAATTTCACGATGCGCTTTGCAATTTAATAAACTTTTATTATCTTATCAGTCGTGCACAACAAATGTCATGTAATACTTGTGTCTGATTTAATTTTTTTTAAGATGGGGCGCAAAAGGAAGCCCTTGTCTCAACAAACCTCCACAAATAACGTCACCCTAAACTCCTCAACAGTCTCTAAGAAAAAACGCTCAAACGCCAATGATCCCCAGGTAAATAAATTGTTTTCACAACTCAAAAACTCGAAAAACTTTTTAGAGACGTGCTGGAACTATAATTCGCATGGCTCTCAAAAACTTCATGTGTCATTCATTACTTGAGGTTGATTTGAATGAGAACGTCACTATAATCATCGGGCGTAATGGAAGTGGGAAGAGCGCTATTTTGACCGCGCTAGTCGTGGGTCTAGGGGGCAGAGCCAGTCTCACGAATAGGGGCAACAGCATTAAGAGTTTTATCAAAGCTGGAAAAGCATCAGGCAGTGTTGAAATCGAGTTGCATAATGTGGGCTCCATGGCGTACCGGCCAAACGTCTACGGGGACAAAATCACGATAATTCGAAATCTGACCGCGTCGGGGGGCTCCGCTTACAGGATCAAAGCCGCAGACGGGGCTGTAATATCCACTCAACTGAGTGAAATTCACAATATCACTACCAGTCTCAACATCCAAGTTGATAATCCGGTCTGCATCCTCAATCAGGATACGTCTAGGAATTTTTTAAATAGTAACAACCCCAAAAACAAATTTACTCTTTTTATGAAAGCCACTAAATTGGATTCTCTCAGTGAGGAGTACAAGAAGATCATTTTACACAAGAGAGAATCACTGCGACTTTTTGAAGACAAACAAAAAAATTTCAAAAAATTGAAAGAGGAGTTGAAGGAATTGAAACGAAAAATTGATAATCACAAGTCTATTGTTGGCATTCGCGAAAAAATAGAATTGATGAGAATTGAATTACTTTGGGCTAAGGTGCGCGACGCTGAAGACGAAGCACAAAAAGAAGAAAAAATTGTCGATAATTTGGCCAAACAACAGGAGAAACTGCTGGACGACTGTGAAAACCGGTCGAAACGAGTGGAAGATTTGAAAAAAAATATCGCGTAAGCCGTTTACCTCATCAATATTTATTTGTCTCATTTGTCACGTTTTCAGTTCCCACACTCAAAAAATTAACGAACTCAAGGAAACAATTCAAGTCCAGTCAAGACCCCAATGGGACGTCAAGAGAGTTATTGATGACCTCAGGACGAAATACAACGACAAACGACGAGAAAAACAACTGATCTTAGGCACAATTGAATCGAAAACAAAAGAAGCCGACGTTTTGCAAAACGAAATCGAAAACGCCAACGAAAAGTAGTCTATATCAATTGTTTTAACCGTTTGTCATTTGTTATTTTTAGAATGACACGCGTGGAACAAGAGAAAATGCAACGCTTGCGTGATTTAAAGAACATGAATGAGAAAATCAAGGGTATGGAGGACCACCTACAGACATGTCGTAACGATTTGTATCAAATACGTAGCGACATCTCGCGGCGTGACGAAGAAAAGTCGAATTTGAGACGTGACATCAGCCAACTCGATCATCAAATAAGTAATGATTTGTATCCACTTTGCTCTGAATTAATTGTTTTGGTTCTAGATAACGAAAAAAGGAGTTTAGCCGCGTTGCAAAACGAATCGGGGAATACCCTGCTTTTGTATGGTCGGGACATCCCCCGTGTACAACAATTAATCGAGCAGAACAAAAGTCGGTTCAAACATCAGCCTCGCGGCCCATTAGGCTCTTACATAAAACTCAAAGATAAAAAATGGGCCGTCGCAGTGGAGAGTTACCTCACACCAGGCCTACTAGGATCGTTCACCGTTGATAATTCCAGCGATAATCAATTGTTAGTTCAGATTTTTAACCAGGTCTGGTCTAGTGGGCGTAAGCCGGCTATAATCACGTCGAAGTTTTTCTTTAAGGTGGCTTTGGAAAGAAAAAAGTGACACCTAGTGACTATGTTTGTTGTAGAAACATGACGTTAGGAACAATTTAGTCAGAGCCCCCTCGGATTGTGTTGGGATTTATGACGTTTTGGAAATCGAGGATGCCGTGGTTGCGAATTGTATCGTAGATCAGGCCCAGGTTGAAGGGATTTTGTTAATTCCCAGTAACGAACGTGCTATGCAATTGTTATCTCATGCCAGTCACGTGCCACAAAACTGTCAACAAGGGATTACAATCAAAGGTGATAAATATTATCCCGATCCCAATTACAAGACTTACGGGTCGAGGTACCACAGGGCACAGTATTTGCAAGTCGATACTAAAGAACATATCCTGTGAGTTGGCTGTGATTGTTTGACAGATGGTCGTAACAAACTTGATTTTTTTTCTAGTCAATTGGAACACAATATCAAAGAAATGACACAGAAAAAGGAAGCGATGGAAAAACAACTGAGTGCGATTTCTGCTGAAATTCGCGACCAGGAAACCAAAAAATCACAATTGGAGGAAAAAATTAAGAAAATGGATGCGGCCCGTACGCAGATTAGGCGACAGTTGGAGCAGTTGAAAGCTACAGCGGAACCGGAAGTCGCCAGTGTTGAACTCCTAGTAATCAATAATTTTTTGTTGATAAAATCTAACGAAATTGTTTTAGGAAAGTGAATTAACGGAAATTCGTGAGACAATTCAGCAAAAAAACGCCCAATTAGCTACCGTTGAAGAAGCACAGAAAGAAATCAAATCTGACATTAAACAAAATGAAGAAAAATTACAAAACTTGAAAGCGGCGAATACCGATTTGGAGGAACGGATGCGCGAACTTGAAGTACCGTTTTCTTTTGTTTTAATCGTTTCTCAATTGTCTTGTTTAGGAACAAATGAAAGAAGATCAAATCCGACAGAAAGAAATCACGACAAGCGAGGAGTTTGATAAGAGGAAAGCACAAGAGTTTAAAAAGAAGATCAATCAGGCACAATCTGAGCTCGTTTTGAAACAAGCAGCCGTGAAAAAGTATACAGAGCAGGCCATGAGTTTGGGGGAAAGACAGGAAACGGCCAGGTTGGTAACACGTACTAAATTTTGGGTGTTTTACTGGAATGTTTAGGAAAATTTGCGATATCGCCAACGAAATCAGCGAATTGGAGCGCAATGTTCGTCGGATTGGAACATCGACGGAAAATGCCGAGGAATTGTTAGAGAAGTACCATTCAATGCACGAGAAATACAATGAATTGTCAACGCTTCTCACATGTCTTAATGACGATATCAAGGATCTAACCAAAGCGGTGGAACAAAGGACGCGCCATTATAAACTTACAGAGAACTATTTCGTTACTTTTATTAAACATTCATTTAAAAAAATTATGGAAGTTCGTCAGTTTAAAGTATGTTTTTTTTTTATGGTTGAGTAGGTTTAATTTTGGTTTTTAGGGGTCAATTGAGATTAATTTACAAGAACAGACATTAGATTTAGTTGTTATACCTCAGCATGGGTCTCAGGGATTGACCACCACTTCAAATTTGTCAGGGGGTGAAAGGTCATTTTCGACCGTTGCATTCTTGTATTCATTGTGGCAGTGCATGGAATTTCCGTTCTATTTTCTTGACGAGTTTGATGTCTATATGGTTAGTCGTACAAAAAAAGACTATTAGATTTTCATATTAAAATATTTTTTAGGATAAGTTGAATAGAACCAAAGTGATTGATATTTTGATACATCATGCTGAGACGCATCCTGAATTGCAGTTTGTGTTTTTAACACCTCAAGACGTATCATTTGTCAAAAAGGCTTCTATTTTAAGGTAATTGATTGTAATTAATTGATGAAAAAATAATTTTGCATTCTTTCTAGATTACAAGATCCTGAAAGAAACAATGTGTGATATTAATGTTTTGCAGTGTATTTTAAAAATTACATATTTTTGCAGAATAAAGTTTATTTGAAAAAATATATTAATATTTTATATACAATCAGGTAACAAAAATCCAGTCTTCTCAATCACTTTTATCCTCAGTTTTCTTCCTATAATCCCTACAATCGTGGAACAGCTTCCTCTCATTGTTAAACTTATACTCGAAAACACTTCCTTGGCAATAAAAACACGAAGCGTAAGGTTTGTGACGGACCATTACCCCATCGAAATGTGTCTTCAAGGCTTGAAACGTGGGGGCGAAAAAGAGTTTACATTCATCACAGTAAAAGTGGTGTTGGATTTCATAATCGTGGATCACCTGAGCGTCTTGGGGCTCCAAAAATCGGGGGTGGATTGCGTCGAGTTCCGTGTAGGTTTCATTTTTGATGAATTTTTCGGTATTTTCTTTGGGATTTTCCATAAAAAGAGTTGCAGGCTATTTATAGATACGTTCAATTGATTGTGGCGATTAGATTTTGCAATAGTTTAAGTCGAATTGAATTTTTCTAGGTTATGTTTGGCGCGATTTTAGGATACTAGACGATGCGCCGAAATTAGTTTTAAAATTTTTTAGTATAAAAATCAGTTAAATTAAATATTAATAATGTAAAAAACAGAACTTTTTTCTTCGCTACAATCATTACTATACGGCTTAAAATTAATTAGAATTATAAATTATGGAAATATGTTAAACGCAACGTCTTGTTTCTCGAAAAACCAAAAAATCAAAATTATTATTTTCAGTTAGGCTGACCACCATACCACCATCAAAATCCCTATATTATTCAAATTTGAATAACACTTCTCCCGCATTGTTAATTGCACTTTTTAGTGTTTTAGCACATATTAAATCATTTTCTTTCGATAATAGAATTCTATTATTAATAATGTGATAAAAACTGTCCCCAAAAGACGATGTTGTGACCCCTGTAATGCTTGTCGTCAAGTCATTTGTGACGACAATCTAAAATTAGACAATAATTGATAAAAAAAAGTAGTCAAAGTGAAAAATATTTACCGCAAATTTATGTAAACTAGTTAAAATTCGAAGTTCTTGAAAAAGTCTATAAATTAAGTTAGGCCTTTCGATGCATGGTTGGTGTTGTTTTAAAGGCCATGAAATGCTATCAATAATCAACAATCTGATCTAAAATTACATACTGATTAAAAACATATGACCCAATTAGTCATAATTACGCAGTTATTAGATAACCAAGTTTTTAAAAACTGAACACTTGCAAACAATTCGGTAAAATTCGTAGCTTCAATACACAAGATTTTCTGCATAATTGTCTCAACATCAGAGACATACTTTTGTGCTATTTCTGTAACAAAAATGAAAAAAAAAAATCACATTATAAAACCTTCTAAAATCCCACCTTGAAGCCTTTCTAAACTGAAATTATTGTTTGTATGAATAAAAACTGCTTCACCAGCGACACCAACTGATAAGTGTAAACAAATCTGAGTCCTCCCAGCCCCTGGAAGCCCACAAAGTTCTGTCACAAGCCCTGCCACTATTTCCTTGCCCAAAAGACTGTCTAATTGTGGCACAAACGTAGTCACAGGCTTCCACTTTGATTCATTTTCATACAATTCTAAAGCAGAACATGATTTTGGAGTCTTTTTAAGCGAAACCCAATCAGGAATCACTGTTTCAACATTGTGGTCTAAATCATTACAATAATTATAGCCCAGATTTTTGAGTTTGCCAAGAAGGCTTTTTGGCAAATTCAATGATGAGACTGGTTGATTCATTTTAAAAACACGAAAATATAAATAAATTTAATAAAAGTGAGGTTATGTTAGTGTCATTTTGCCGGTCCAAGGCTATCAAAACCAAGGTGTGTCTATTGCGCCCCTGACGTCATTTCATTTTGCATAAGTTACGTCACATTTAATTCAAATGCAATATCAAACGCAAATCTTTATTACATCACAAAAAATCCATTACATCATTTATTCAAGTGTCACAACTGGAATTTCCGACAATTCGTTGATGTCGGCCGGTTCTTCGCAAGCTCCAAACTTGACGATATACAACGATTTTTGCTCTTCATGCGGCCTTGACTTCACATGACAAAGAAATTCGCATTTATTACCATAAGATTTGCCATTCGAAGCACAAACGGGGGCGTAAATACGTGAACAAATGCACGGAATTGGTCGCTCACTTTTCACATATACGGCTAAAACAGCGAAAAGTATAACAATTACCGCTTTCATTGTGTTAACAACAATAAATTGGCTTTTTATAACTTATTGGCGCACTAGAGCGTAAAATCAATCTGACTAGACAATATTTAAACAGTGAGCGTTGCTTTATATAGGTATATAAAAATCGAACAAGTGTTTTTATCTGAGAATATTTAAGTATAAAACAACAAATACTTTCTTCAAAATAATTATATTTACATAGCTTACTTGATGTAGGTAAACAATAATAACAAGTACCTACATTTGTTGTATGTAGTATAAACGTATGTGAATGATCCATTTTATTACTTTTTTATTTACATTAAAAGCAAATAAATTGTTACTATCATTTATCGACTTTCTTTTCTTGAACTACATTAAAGAAACGATAAAACTTGACAGCACATTTCTGGATTAGACATTTGATAGACGGTCAGTTCAATCCACTTTACAGTCATGAATCATGCATTTGTCTCAAGTACAATCAATTTATTTTTATCACAATCATGATCGAGATCGTGATTGTGAAAGTACTCAAAATCAATACAGTTTAAAGTAATTTATTGTGTCGGTGCGACATTGATGGCACCATGATTAATTAAAAACAAGCAAGCTTTGGAATTTTATAATACGGAGTTAGAGTGTAGGTATATCGGATTTTGATTTCAAACAATTCGATTAATTATTAAATTGGTTAAAATCGATTGCGATTAAAATACATTTCAAGGTCATCCGAGTGTACATAATTTTAGAGTAATGAAGACGCTTGAATAAATTGTGATTAAATAGAGGTTTGTCTTAGAGATTGGCAACACCATATTTAGTGTTTTTTGTTCACATCAAATCACTCAAATTATCATGGGTTCAATTAATTTTCTGATCAAAGTGGCCTCTGATTTTAAAATTAAATTGGCAACATTGATGTAGAAATAGATAAGTCGCTACATTGCTCAATGCTGCCAACTTTGATCAAAAATTTCATCAATTTTAATCACCTTTACCTAAAACAATAAATAATGTTGACATTTGGATAAAAATAAAACATTAATTTATGAATTATAAACGACAACAGCATATATCATACTTTTCCCTCATTGTGTTTCTAATTATTTTCGAGTCTTTGTCTACTTTGTGGTTTCTATCGGGTGCGCCAAAACTCGCGCCCAAGAGAAAAAATTTAAGTAAGATAAGATACAAGGAACATGGAAAAAACGTTTATATATAAATTCTATTTGTCAAACAATTTTGACATTTATTTTTTGACATTTGACATTTTTTTATGTCCATTTAATGATAGTGATGATCTTGTATATGTTTTTTTTACAATTATTTAGTAAAGGTACAAAAATTTTGCTAATGAAAGCCACAAATAACATTAATCAGAGTTACAATTTTAGGATACAACTTCCTTGTTTCCTCCTCTAACAGCCTGTAGCAAAACAACTTTAGTCCGGTCAAATTAGTCATAAAAATAGTGGTCAAATAACGAAAATTCCGACAGAGCTAAATTTTGGTGGAGACCTTGGGTATACCATTAGAAATAAAGTGTCAAAAGTCCCCATCGATCCCATGTGTGCTAAAAAAGTTATTCGGGGTCAAAGGTCAATATTTGACGTTTTTTAGATTTTCTTCGAAAACGGCAAGTTTTATCAAAAAAGTAGCTCAGACGAAAATTATAGATCTTAAAATTATCTACAAAATGGTCTTTATACTTTTTTTTCCAAGAATCACCATTCCTGAGATATCGCGATTTTAAAAGTTGAAGGAGTAACGTTCTACATCATATGCACATACAGAGTGCGCCAGAACTCGCGCCCCAAAGACAAATGCCATGTAGGGTAAGGTACCAGGAACATAAAAAAAAATTAAAAAAATTCTATCTATAAAAATTTCGAAGTTATGAGAGTTTAAATTTTGCACTTTGACTCTTATTTATTTCTGTAGGATAAATAATTTTCTACGTTTTTTTGCTACAGGTTATTAGAAAAGGAAACAAAGAAGCTGTATCCTAAGTTGTAACTCTGTTTAATATTATTTGTAGCTTTTATTGACAAAATTTTTGTACCTTTATCAAATAATTATAAAAAAACATATACAAGGTCATCAGTATTATTAAATAGACATAAAAAATTACAAATGTCAAAAAATAAATGTCAAAATTTTTTGACAGATAGAATTTTTTAAACATTTTTTCAGTACTCTGGGGACTACCCAATTACTCCCTTTCAATGCAATGCGCGATTTTTTGAACAGCCTGTATGTATTACCAAATAAATTCTTTTTAATTCTAATGGAATCGAGATATTTATAAGTTTAATGAAGTAGAAGAAAAATTTCAAGTAAAATAAGATACCAGGAACATAAAAAAAATGTTTAAAAAATTTTATCTGTCAAAAAAATTTGACATTTGTTTTTTGACATTTGACTATTTTTTATGTCTATTTAATAATACTGATGATTTTGTATATATTTTTTTACAAATATCTAGTAAAGGTACAAAAGTTTTGCCAATAAAAGCCACAAATAACATTGAACAGAGTTACAATTTAGGACACAGCTTTTTTGTTTCTTCTTCTAATGGCCTGTAGCAAAAAAACTTGGAGAATTATTTTCCCTACAGAAATAAATAGAGTCAAAGTGCAAAATTTAAACTCTCATAACTATGAAACTTTTATAGATAGATTTTTTTTTTAAATTTTTTCTATGTTTGTGGTACCTTACCCTACATTGCATTTGTCTTTGAAGCGGGAGTTCTGACGCACTCTGTATGTGCATACCATGTAGAACGTGACTCCTTCAACTTTTAGAATCGCGATATCTCAGGAATGGTGATTGTTAGAAAAAAAGTATAAGGACCATTTTGTAGATAATTTCAAGATCTATATTTTTTGTCTGGGCTACTTTTTTGATAAAACTTACCGTTTTCGAAAAAAATCTAAAAAACGTCAAATTTCGACCTTTGACCCCGAATAACTTTTTTAGCACACATGGGATCGATGGGGACTTTTGACACTTTATTCCTAATGGTGTACTCAATATCTCCACCAAAATTTAGCTCTGTCGGAATTTTAGTTATTTAAAATGTTTATTTTGACCGGACTAACTTGGAAAATTATTTTTACAACAAAAATAAATAGAGTCAAAGTGCAAAATTTAAACTCTCATAACTTCGAAATTTTTATAGATATTTTTTTTTAACATTTTCTCCATGTTCCTGGTATTTTACCTTATATGGCATGGGGCTCGAGTTTTGGCGCAACCTGTATAATTATACAATTTAGTGTGTGCTAACGATTTTTCTTCACTAATATTAAAAAAATGTATTTAATAAAAATAAAAATTTATATGCGAAAGAAATTAACTAGTGTTTTCCTACGACCACATACGAAAGGTACAATTACAATTACATATGCCCGAAAATTGGCAATATCGTTCGTGGTCAAAAACCTGTGCGATTTGTTTTCGCGCTGTGTGTTAGAAATTTAACGCACAATTCATACTCGAATGTTTTATATTTTTTCATTCAACGTATTTTTTTTGTATCCATTATAAAAAATAAATCGTTATTCAACGTCTTTTTGTATCCATTATAAAAAATAAATCGTTATGAAAAAAAAATATGTTCGTAAGAAAAACATTATTTATGGTCGTAGGAAAAATAGTGTACAAAACTTGCAGGAAAGTGTCTAACGCACTTGCGGGATTGCCTGCACTCGGCTAACGCCTCGTGCGCAACTTTCCCGCTTGTGCGTTATTTATCACTTTCCGTGCTCGTTATGTAATATACTATTAACTAACAATTACAAATGCAACATACTAAAAAATTGTCATAGTCTTAACGTCTGCATTTTTTTCTTTGCAGTGGTATTTACTACACAATATTTTTTCTATAAAAATAAGTACACAGTTAAGTATATGGACAGGTTTTTTTATATATTTTGTTATCTAATACCAATGTTATAAAATAATATAACAAATTCATCGAAAAATAGATAAAATGGAGTTGTTAGAATAAAATATATTCATTAATTTTTTATTTGACGTGCCAAGAATAACGGCACTGTTGTCAATCTATTCATGAGTACCAACCCTTCTGATTATTAATAATAGAAATGTTAATTATACGACCGTAAGCTGTCATTTGAGCACAATTAACACCCCTATTGTAATGTATCAGCAGTGATTTAAATCGATTATTTCTATGAAAAATTGCTATCATGCCAACTTTAAGCTTTGAGGTTATTTCCTTGATACACCATGATTAACAACTTTGCGGGAAATGCACTGTTAATCATTTCTGACAGTGTATAGTCGTTTAATGCATCCTTCACCCCTAAATTCGTACTCTAAACATCCGGTCCATGGCCGACTACGACACGACATTGTCTAGTTGGTGAAAAAACGCATTTCTTTTTATGCTGTCTTCAATTTTTTGCGTGAGTATCTTACCGCGATACGTGGGATAAATACCAAGGAGGAACCCGGCGCCTCCGCCATTTTGCACACTTCAGTGTAAATTGCCTTTTAATGAGGCGAGATCGTTTGTTAAGGACATACATATAACTCAAGTTTCGTTCGAGGGCTTTTTTATTGGAACAAAACGTGACAGCAACTGATTAACTGTTAGTGCTACTAACTGAGTTAGACAAGTTGGCAGACTCAGGGGAAGAAGTTTGCCCGGTCCAAGGTTGAAATTAGGGCATCGAGTTTACTGTTTGAATTTCGCTTCTTGAAAGATTCATCATTTTACTACTGACTTTGACAAGGACGTGGCGTTTGCAAGTTACGATGGATGTGAATACTTCAAAAGGGCTGTTTACAGCCCATGGGGAGGCGGGAAATCGACCAGGAAAACACCATAAATGACAAGAGCCGTTTAAAACGTCATTTAAAAAACATCATCATTTTGATCATCGATGAATTTTTTCAATTAAATTTTAAGTTTCTGATTAGAGCAATCTCTGACACCAGTGTTGCCAGCTCAAAAAAAGTCATCACATACGAGTTGAAAAAGTTTTCACTAAATTACTAAGTAATGATTTAAATCTTTTCAAAATTGTCAAAAATGTACGTCTGTAAACTGTGTGAATAAAGGCTAGGTAAAAATCTTACATGAT